CAGTCTGACAGGCCTATAGTCAGTCATGGAGACAGGCTAAGCAGCTACTCAGGGCTGCTTCTAACCCTGACTTTTTGTGGCTGTGTATGTAGCGTGAGAGATGTTTAAGACTGTTTTAGACACTTGTACATCCGACCAAGTAGCACAAAAATAGGACATTTCACTCTGATGCTCAGTCGCATGTGATTCTTGCCGGTACTTGTTACAGATCTGAAATTTCAGCCATGCAATGGCAAGGTTTGAAATATAAACCTGACCCAAGTTGTTTCCGTAAGAATATTGAACAAACATGCAGAAAAGCACAAGGACTTCTCTCATAATTCACCTGAGACAGGGCTACCCTTGGGTGTTGCACAGCTCTGCTCCAGACAGGGCGTCTGCATTTACTTATCCTCATTTTAAACTGGTAGATTGATTTTTCCACAAGAAAATCCCCCATCTCAGCAAGCCTCACTGTACAGCACACTAGCCCTGTGCTGGCCTTTCGAGCAATAGGCAGCCTGTTGAAGATGTTCCATAACACGATTCCTACCACAACTTTATCCCTGAGGTAGAAAATGACATCTTTGCTGTAATATTCTCCTTGCTTTGGAACTTGAGGCATTGGTGAAAGGCTTGGAGAAACGTGAACTTCTGAGGCTACTGCTTCTGTTTCACTCTCTGAACCCGTACCTGTCCCTAACGCAAAGCTATGAGGTCTCAAACATCCAGTGCAGAAAAAAGCAGCAGCTATTTGCCTGTGGTGGTGAAAGCAGGCCAAAGAGCAGGGTTCTGTAAGACACTGAGGTGTTTTTCTTTGAGTTGCGTCCAGCAAAAGTTTTGTTTCAGTAACGCGAGGGTGACGCAATCCTAACATGAAGCCTAACACTGACAATTCCCAACTTCCATCAGCAAATGCAAAAGCCAGAGCAGTCTACTTCTTCCAGGCAGCATATACAAATTAAATGTCTTAGATCCCCACACAACCTGTTTTGTCCAAAACCTGGTCTTTTTGTTGCTATGGAGGAAATGAAGCTTCACTGGGAAAAAAAGTTTTAATTTTGGTAAATCAGTTCCACAAGGTCTTCTTGGAGGAATGTTACGGATTAACCACATTTTCCTTTCAAAGCCAGCCTTTAAAGCTTGGTCGAGGAAAGAAGCAAACAGAGTGATGTCTCCTAGTGCTCTACAGGGAGATCACACTGACTCTGTGGCCACTACACAGAGCGAGACACAAAAACTTCATGTGCGCAGACGGCTCCCAAGCACGATTATAGCCCTACCTGATTGCTCCATCACGCTTTTCGGTGTGTCTTTTGCTCTTGCTTTAGCAAAGACTCCTACTTTTGGCAAACTACTGTCAACAAGGCCAATGGTTTCATACCCTACATTAGGACCCAGATCACTCCAAGGAATGAAGAGGGGAAAAAGAAAATAATTTGTAGCATTAGGGAGAGAAATACACAGCAATTGTGTTGGGTTAATGGTTGGACTTGATGATCTT